ACAACAACAAAAATTAAAGTGTGCTTTAATCTTTTTGAAACACACTGTATACGATATGTGGTACCTCTTTCATTAAAGTGAGCCACCTGCGAGGATCGATTTTTTTCACTAAATCAAACACTAAACACAATAATTACTCAATAATAACCACTCAATAATAATCACTCAATGATAATCTCTGCTTATTATTTTAAATAATCTGATTAATCAATATATGTGTGACATTGCCCGTTATACCTTACACCGATCTTTTTTCAAAGTTAAGCTCCACTGCTCAGTTTACGTTTGTCTGATGTACCTAACACTAGTAGGTATGGTATTTAACTTTCGTCGAGCTGCACAATGGGCTATTGGCGACTGTTTGGAAAACAACGCCGAGAATGATCCGAAGACATGCCACCACAATTTTGATCCTCTGTAGAGGGGATGCCTCCTCCTCTTTGGTTGCCCGACGACCTATGCGCGAAGTTGAACACTTTAAGGTAGGACAGTTTAACGAGGACCAATATCGCGCATCCTCGGTCCCCACGTAGACTGATCAAAGTGGTCACCCACCCGCTTACTGACCGCAGCCAGAGATGCTTGACTTCGGTGTTCTATTAGGAACCGTGATACCTAACACTGATTTTAAGTTTAAGAGCCATAGTTCCTAATATTCTATATGTATTTACTGTCAAGGTGAAGGCCACCTTTAACGGGACAGTACCCAATATATGTGGCAGTGAAAAATTCTATCGTAACTCATTTCTCGTTCCAGACCTTGACCAAAAAGTGTTGGCAATTCCCAAATTTTACCGTGAAGGATTGGTAACAGTTCGAAACGAAATCCTATTCTAGCATGCTTCAGACTTTTACCAAGTCACTTTGGTAAAACACAGGTTTTACCAGACTTCGTGGTCTTACAGTAACATATATGTTAAAAAGAAATCAAAAAAATATTATAGTTTGTATCTTGAAAAAATTGAATCCATTATTATTTTATCAATGGTATGTATACTGTGATAAGATAATATTCTACTTAAGATAATAAAAATATTCCCTCTTTCTCTTTTTTTTATCAGCATGTACTGCGAAGTATACATTTATATTAGAGGTTGTCAAAAAGTCATTTTTAATGCTTTATCAAAACAACTGAAAAAATTCTTGAGAAATAATTTTATCTCTTATCTACATTTTACAGTTGGTTAAATAAAAGCATATCTGTAATTGATGAACGAAGTCACGCTGTTATTTCACAATAATTTTCAACTAATCAGACTGAATTCTGAGCTTTGGTTTCTGAAGAATAGTTTTTTCAAATTCTTGATAATGGTTCAAAAATTTCTATTTTTAATCCTAAGCATTATCTTAAAGTCACATAAATGACACGAATTAAATTCGCTTAGATCTGGATAAAAAGAAATTAATTATAGAGCAATATGATTGTTTGTAATTTTATATTGGAAAACTTTATTTTAAATAACCATTTGTACATTTTTATGAAATTTTTAAGCAATGTCGAAGAACATCGATAATTTAAAAAAAATTGTATTTATTAAGTGCTGCTTTCAAAGCTTCCTGATATATAAATGTTTTACTTTTATTATTATTTTTTTTGAATAATCGAAATTTTCAGAGCGGCACTACGCAGCTTAATGTAGGGTGCATGGAAGCTTTTGGACTCGTCCAATTGTTGAAATTTCGAATTTCACCCAACTTGTGAGGAATCCATTTAGGTAATTTTTTCATTATCCAAACGATGAAAGATAATTCAACAATATTTTTGTACTTATTATAGGATCAAAGCAAAGCGTATTGCTAATTATTGTAGCCGTAACTTTAAAGCGTCGACTTAAACCCTACAATTTAAAATTCAATTTTATATGAATTTATTTAATAAAAAAAGTATGAAAATAAGTGGCAAATGTAGCAATTAAGTTAAGTACTAAGTAAATTTATAGCACTTGGGTGGCTGATAAACAATAATAGATAATTAATTGCCACAAAGGTGCTATTAAAAGAATTTATGGGAATTTGAAGTTTAAAATGAAAATTTACAATTAGAATCATGGGTTAGTGTCCCCTTGCCATCAGCCTTACCGTGGGGGGTTTTCGTAATTTTCCTCTCAATGTAACGCAAAAGAGGGTTATTTCCTCCAAGAAGGCACATTTCTCCCAATAAATTATCCAGGAATTCCTTTGTGTTATGGATTGGGTTCAAAATGACAAGGTTACGGAGTTGAACATTAATAGTCGAAAACCCAAAATTGGGTTGGCTGCTCAACGACAGATATAAAATAAATCAAAATTATATGAGGGGTGATGGCTCAAGGGATAGAGCGTTCGCCTTCCAATGAGGTAAACCGGGTTCGAATCCCAGCGATGGCTGTTCGATACGAATTCCGCAGCCGGCTTGCACTGACCGCAGTGCTGACGTAAAATATCCTCAGTGCTAGATGGATCATGAGTTAGAGTCTTCTTGCCGTCAGACTAACCGTGGGAGGTTTTCGCGTTATACCCTTAAATGTAACGCAAATATGGGTTAGGAGCATCATAAAGTCCCCTACTAAGACAAATTTCTTCCAATACTTGTTCCAGGAGTTCCCTTGTTTTCTGGACTGGGTTTAAAATTACAGAATTGAACATTAGTAGTCGTAAACCCAAAAATTCGGCTCGTCTGCTCAACGACTGTTATGAAATTAAAATATATCCTTTATTTTATTTCAATTGCATGTTTATAATATAATTTAATACTAATTTTTTACCTTTCAGCATTCATTTATTTTAAAAAACGGTAGCCGGATAATGGATCAGGAATAAATCGACGTAAATTTAGATTGACGATAAATTCTTTTTTGCCATAAAATGACGATGTTTGGTGATAAAATAATCATAAATATTGTTTGTAACAATTAGGAAACGGTTGATCAGGCAAACATGTCGGTTAAAATTTTAGCGTCCTAATTACACAGCAGGTGTACGAAATTTCGATCGTTTGATTCCATCGTCTTGAACATAAAAGCGAGTTAGAAAAAATAATAAGAATTCGTTAAAATTGTGCTTCAG